CCTGCATGAGTCCAGCCAAAGACCTAGAGCCCATGACAATATCTCATACAAGTCTGTTTTATGGATCCATGCTGGGAAGGCCCAAAGATCAGTAGTGGAAGCTAGGAAGTCTGTGCCAGCGGGATGAAGGAGCTGTGCTGGTAGGCTGAGGGTTCTATACTGGAGCCAAGAAGTCACGCTCAAAATAAGGACCAGGGCTGCCCTGAAAAGCACAACAGCCATCCTCAGTGACAAGGAGGTCCCAAGCTCCTCTGACAACGAGAACAGTTGAGTACATGCCAGAAAGCCAGCATGACAAGTTTCTCCTGCAAATTAAACAGTACACATCTTCCTCCCAGAGCCAGGAAGCCATGCTCGATAAAAGGACCAGACCTCCCCCAAAGTGAACCACAGCTACTCTCAGTGACAAGGTTCTGAGCTCTTCTAATGATAATGGCCAAATCCATCTTGGGTAAACCAGTATAACAAGCTCCTCCAGGAAAAATAAGGCCTCCAAACAGCGACACTTAGGAGAACCCACAATGCCCTGCTCTTCTTCTCGACTTCTCTATTTATGCTGGCAACTTTCCTCAAGTGGCCCATCTACACTCAGCACCATGCTGATTTAATTCAGCTGGCATTAAGCTGACCACCAGTTTTTAATCCATAACAGTTAGATAACTATCTTAACATAACATCAAATAAATGATTTGCCATAGAATAAATGAGTTTCGAATCTTATGATAACCTAATGAGCAAGGTCTAACACAGGCTCAGACACAGAGACTGGCATTCTTGCCCAAAGCATTTTCCCTTTTTATAGGGTGAGGAGAAGCCATAGTAAATGATTTAAGACTTATGAATCATATTTCAGATCATAATAAAATTTATGGCTCTCATGCGAAAATACTGTTGGAGAGGTTTTGAATGGAGGAATGAGCTACAACTTGAAGTCCTCATACAAAAGTACATCAATTTGACATTTTAACTGTCTAAAATAGCTAGTTGTGATAAAATGATATGTAAATTATTAGTTCTGTTGAATTAACAACCTCTGTACATAAAGGGAGTGATTAGAGAAAAAATACAGAGCAGGTTTTAGGAAGATAAAATGCAAGCAATTATTTTAAAAGAGTGAAGTATTGAAAGAGTCACTTGCCTTTCTATACTTTTTCATACTTTGAGTTTTATAAGTCTGTTCCCTTAATAGGATTTCAAGAACTTGCACCTGAAAACTGTTACTTCCAGGAGAGCTGATTGGGTTTCCACTACTGTGTTCTCCAGTCTGTGCACACTCTTGTGTTCACATTTGTGTACTGGAATGCAAGAATTTAGCACGGTGGCTAGGGCTAGCATCAAATACAAAAGCTAATTGAAACTCCAGATGCGAGGGAAAAATAGCTACAAGACAAAGTTTAAACACATCATTTGCTATACAATCACACTAACAAGTAAGTTTAACCAAATATTAGCTGTATGAGAAAAATATAAAGCTAAAAATTTAAAGAAAGCTGTACAGTCTTTGTGGATAGCAACACTAAATATTATAAAGCTGATCATTTTCTCCACACTGTTCTAGAGCTCATAACTACAGAAAAGCTCAAGTCTGAATCCTAACAGAACATTTTTTTTTCTATTGAAAGTGATTAAAGGATTTTAACATTATATGGACCACAAAAATCCAAGGAGAGACATTTCTAAGGAAGGCATAGAGGAAAATTTTCTTTAACCTAAAGTCAAAAGAATTAAGACACTGGGCTGGGGAATTAGCTCAGTGGCATAAGCACCTGCCTGGCAAGCACAAGATCATGAGTTCACTCCCCAGTACCAAAATAAAATAAAATTAAATAAAAATAAAAATAATTTAGACACTGAAGTATTCGTTCAGTGAGTAGACAAACTGAATGATATAATAATGAAACAAGAGATGCATGCATATATGGAATGAAGTTCATGATTGAAATAATCTACCTGATCAGTGGAAAAAGAGGAACTATTTATTAAATAAATGAGCTAAAAATAGTTACATTGATAATAAAAATAAAATTGTACCACTACTTTATATAATATGAAACCCCAGTCAAGTACTTGTACAAAACAAAACTTTAAAGCTACTAGCAGAAAATATAAGCAAATATCTCTCTGATTGTGGGTGATAATTATTCATTAAATATTATAGAAAACAATGCTAATAAAAGGAATTATATTAGTGAAGTGAATTTAAATTTTTAAAATTAGTATCTATTCACTTAAAGACACCTTTAAAACAGAAAATGCATTATATTCAAAGTAAGAACAAACAATTGTATTTGCAACTCAGAACCCTTACAAATAATTCTATGAGGGAATTAATCATGAGCAACCATTGTGGTGTTTGGTGTTTCACTGACTTTGCAGGTCCAGGGCTGGTGGTCTGATCATCTATTCAGAGGATCATGGTACGCAGTGTGGCATCTACAAGGGAATCTCCTTCTGAGCATGGTAGTCACTGTTAATTCCCCGTTATTGTGTTTTGAAATCCTGTGTCATTTTCATTGTTTTGTTGGGTTGGGTTTTATTCTCTTTTGTTTTGCTTGATTTTGTTATACATGATGGCAGGAGCAGCTATTTGAAAGATGTAAAGATATATTCTGGTAGCCATTTTGGATTTACTGTTACCTTGTTTTGAAATACTTCATTTCATTCATTGGTTTGTTTTTAGTTTTGTTTTGAAATCCTTTATTTCATGCATTGTTTTGTTCTATTCTATTATGTTTTATTTGACTTTTACTATGTCTGAAGGTATCTGCAGTTATTTTTAATACAACAAAAGGCATTATGGTAACCATTGTTGATTTTGTATTGTTTCGAAGTCCTGTGTCACTTACACCTGCTTGCTTTGATTGAATTTTTCTGTTTTATTTTGCTTGGTTTTACTCTCTTTAAAATAAAATTTAAAAGATAAACAAACAAAGAAGAGCAACCAAAATGAATAGACACTTCTCAGAAAACAAAGTAAAATGGCTAAGAAATACATGAAAAATGTATAACATCTCTAGCCATTGCAGAAATGCAAGTGAAAACAACACTGAGATTCTACCTTACTTTAGAAAGAATAAGAAATCATTTCTAATCATTAAGAAACCAAATCATAAAAACTTTTGGAGCTGCTGTGAGGAGAAGGACCCCTTCTACCCTGTGGTATAATTGTAAACTAGTACAACCATCATGGAAATCAGTGTGGTGATCCCTCAAAAAGCTAACCTAGAAATTTCATCTGACCTTCTGTTTCCCTTGTCATTTTCCCAAAGAGCTAAAGACATCATACTACAGTGCAACATGCCTACCCATGCTTATAGCAGTGCAACTCATGTTAGTTAAATCTTAGAAGCAGTCTATATGTCCATCAATGGATAAATGGATAAAGAATATGTTGCCTTTTTACGCAATGGAGTAGTATTGTGCCATAAAGAAATATAAGCTTGAATGACTGATGGGAAAATGGATACACGTTGGGATGGTTAGGTTAAGTGAAATAAGTAAGATGCAAGCTTAGATGGCACATGGTTTCTCTTATATGAGAAACTCAAAATTTAAAGAGCAAGATAAAAAAAAAACATGAATTAAAGAGATAGATCTTTTTCCAAAATAAAAAAAAGTGAAGGGCATTAAGAGACAGAAGGAAGGGAGAGGGAGGGGATAGAAAACAATTAAGTTCCACTGTGTACACACACTAACTTCCCACAAGAAACGTAGTCATTATGTGCCAAAAGCTAAAAAAAAGAAAAAGAAAAAAAAATTCTCATAAGATTGGTTCATGATTAGATTACATTAAAATTAGTAATTCATATTCATCAGAAGATATTATGGCAAAAGATATTTGTAAGAAATACAACTGAAATATCCCATATTTGGAATAGCTCAAAACCATACATATTAACAAGAAAAAAAAATAAATAAATCCAAGAAGTTGAAATAAAAGGCAAAAAAGAAAAACATATCAACATGTTTGACTTTACTGACAATTGGCAAGCTTCAATATAAAACTATAAATGGGTAGTATTTTTACCTTATTGGAATCATCTGAAAAATCAGTATTTATCCAGGTGTTTTAGTGCATACCTGCAATTTCTACAATCTGAAAACCTAAGACTTGAGGGTCACAAGTCTAGCTTGTCCAGCTTAGTAATACCTGGTCCAAAATTTAAAAATTCTAAGAAACCTAAAGATGTAGCTCAATGTGATGACCTAGGTTCAATCCCCAGTAATGAAAAACATATATGTAATAATACAATTGTCTTAGTTACCTTTTACTCTGTCACTGAGACAAAATACCTGATGACAAAAGTTGGGAAAGGAAAGGTTTATTTCTTACAGTTTTTGGAGATGTCAGTCCGTACTCTGTTGGCTCCAAGACAGGGTGGCATGGCGGGGCCACAGTTCATGGCAGCTGCAAACAGCAAGGCAGAAACCCGAAGAGAGCGAGACACACCTTCTTCCTGCCATTACATCCTGGCTCCACCCCTAGGCCAGTGTAGCACTCACACCCCCAATCCAAGCTCTAGACAATGAACCAATCGCAAAAGCATAATGCAAACATGAGGTCTGGGGGCCATCAACATAAACCATGACAACAATAAAATAAAATTTGACATTATAAGTGTTGGAGATCATGTAAAGAATCAAAACTCTTATCCTCGTCTAGTATTTATGTAAAGTGGTACAATTATCTTGAAAAACAGTTTGGTATCTAAAGTTGGTGACGTATATGTCCTTTTTACAGTTCTCTACAGCAGGGGACAAAAGGGAAGGGGCAAATAAGCAAATACTTATCACTAATAGAACCAATAAATCAACTGAAGTGTAATCATACAATGAAAACTTTTCTCAAAGGAAAATTAACAAAATGCAAATATCCTTACTGAGGCAAAGAAGTCATGCAGACATCTGTACACTAGTAATCTGATATTATTAATTCAAAGAGAACACTACATATTTATGGAATATGAAATAGCTACAAAGGAAACGCAGGTAATGCTCACCATAGAATCCAACGTGATACAAGGGAGGCAGAGTTGCAGAGATGCTGCTGGGGAGGAAAAAGCAGGCATCAGTATGACTTCTTAAAGTAGTCAGCGTTCCCAGCGTGAAGCAGAGGCAGACACACTCTCGTGTATGTATATTTTACAATAAAAACTATGTAGTAAACCCTTCTCGTCATACTAAAAATAAGAGGCACACCTAAGAGTCAGCGGACCCAGCTGTTGGTTACCTATTTGCCTTTATCTCGCCCTGTCCTCTCTCACGTTCAGTGCGGTTCATCACAAAGGCCTTCTTTGGAGCACTTTAACATTCCAAATTCTTTCTCAAATTTCCGCTTTCTCTTTCCTCTGCTAGGAACTGCTTCCTCCTGATCATGGTACACTAGCTCCATTTCATCCTGCAGGGCTCAGACCAACTGTCATCTCAGCAAAGAGACTGCCCAAAGTATCTCAGAGAGTAACTGGCAGAATCAGGGAAAGAGTTGCTCTTAGTGACACAATTCCTGATAATAAATTTTCAGTAGTACATTCTGTTTGTCACTCCACGCCACAGTCTAAAACTAATAAGCATATGAGAACTAAAGAGTGTGATTCAGCAAGTGCCCGTGTGAAATAACAGAGCTGAAAGCTGAATGGAGAATGAGACGCTGGAAATAACCTGCGTCGCTCTCTGAAAAACTGAGCACAGTGAGATTTATTCATCTCGATTACATAGATGCTTTGCTTAAGTTCACATTGTGGAATGACCACTGTTAGTCTGCCAGTGTGCATTTCCATTCACAGTGTTTAACTCCGAGGCTGCTGCTCTGATCCTGAATTTTTGTTCCAATCAAAGTCAACCACATTATTGTCACTCCTCCTTCACTTTCCACATTTTTTAACTCCTGAGCTTTTAAAAACTGACTCCAACTGTTTGTCTCTAACAATAAACATTCTAGAGAGGAAAAAAGGTTGATTACTTTTGAATTCCTATTAATTAAGTCGACATAGTTTCCATTTTTCCCTTAACAAATGAAAAAATATGACTAAGTGTGCCATTCACTACTTCAAAGGAACACAAGCAATTAGCTACACTTTTCTATTCTCTCTTTAAACCACTTATTAGCTCATTTATTATTTAGACCAATTAGTTTTGGTTGCTGAAGATATTATTCAATATGTAAGAGAGTGTCTGCTCTGTTGTAAAATTACTACTCTTTTTTCTAATTTTTATTAAAATTTAGCTGAACGCATTTTAATACATTCATTTTATTTGACACATTAATTCCCTTCTTGTTAGCATAGTCTATCTCAAAAGAAGTTAGTCTAATTTGAGACATTATTTCTAATTCCTGGAAATATATGGCATACTTACTAAATGTCGTTGTTATAAAAATTAAACTCAATTGCTTATAATTGACTGAAGTCTATTTTATAAAGCTACATTTCTGGAAAATTGTTTAAATGCTATTTAACACAATGCAAATGGTAAGTGATACAATTGTTATGCTCTTTAATTCATCTTTTTTTCAGCAAGATTACTTAAATGTTTGTATTTGGCTCTCTATGACCTACTAATTAGATTTTTGTATATTAAACTATAATGATAATGTATCAAAATAAAGTTTTGACTCAGATTCTTACAATGAAGGATGAAGACATATGAAGCCATCATATGTAATCTGATGTCTAAATCTCTATGAATGAGGAAATGGACCATTGTTTATGTATATAAGATCCATTATGAAATATATTATAAGAATTGCAGCATTTTATATCCTTATTCAGACATGAGCATTTCTCAATCACTTAAGAATTTTTTAGGCAAATTTTTGCCTCACGTACATCTTTAAATCATGCAACAATTGATAAAAGATATTTTTTTCTATTGCTATAGATAAGAAATCATGAAATCATGAAGTGAAGTAAGTCTAATACCTTCACAAAACATGTAAGCTTATGAGTGAACACTAGTTAAAATGGAAAAAATTCACAGCAAAAATATAATCTGAAATTGTAATATAATTTATGTCACCACGAACAGCAAGGTTTGTATTATGGAAGAAACAGTACAATAAATCATAACTGACTCAGGTGGCAAAATTCCACATAATTTTTATGTACTTCCATTTGCTTTGATTAAAAACATTATTTGGAAAATTCTAAAACTCTGCAAATATTACTTTAAGTTCTCTATATTATTTTTAACAGCTCTTGGGAATTGTTATTCATTGATCTCACACTTCAAGGACCCTGCTAACACTAACCACAAATTCTGTCAGTTGAGCCAGTATTAAAGAGCACTAGAACTGAAGCTAGGCTTTCTTAACTGAACTTCTGTTTTAATTTCTTCTGGGAATTACAGAAGGAAAACAGAGGTTAGAGATGCAAAGACTTCACTTTTGGCCTCGTGCACATTCAATAAACTGACAAGAGTTAATAAAATTAATTATCTGTCTGGACTCAAGAGCTGGGGTGTAGGTCACCTGGCCCACAAAAGTAGCCGTGAACTTAGGTTACTGTTCTTGCTGTTGCTTCCTTTTCTAATTCATTTCCTCTCACAGTGCTTCTAAGCCCTTCCAGGATCCTCTGAAAGATCCACTTCCACTTCATACAGACTTGAAATCCTTTATTGCCTTGCCTTTAAAGTCTCTCCTCTATTGATTTACCATGCACTGAAATGACCCAATAATATAAAAAATACAGGATTTTATTTTATACATTTCTTTCTCAATGAATTTCACCATCAGTTAAAGTAATTCTTTCAGAAAATGAAACTTTTGATTCTCTCCTCTTTAATAAGACAAGAGAAATTTGAATTATTTGTAGAAAAATAGATGTACTTTGAGACCATGATGTTAAGTAAAATAAATCAGACACACAAGTTTCTACAGAAATCCAAAATACGAATAAAAAGTAAAACAGGTGACGGATTTTAGTATGTCGGGAGACAAATCTTTCCAAATGGCGTGAGGAGGTAGGGGAAAGGGGGAGGGAAAGGATTGGAAAGGAGAACTGAGGTGTGTCACCAAAGCCATGCCAAGAATGTCAATATGATGTTCTGCAAATGTGCCAATAAAAATAAATAAGTGGACAAATAAAAGAGAAAAGTGACATGGACGTTACGGCTGGAGGAATATTTACCTCACAACAGTTTTAAAACCAAAGAGTGACACCACATAACAAGACAGCAAGGGGAGTATAAACTATGGGTGACAATTCATTTTAACATGAAGAATTTCCCCCAAGCTTCTCACTATTCCATTGCAAAAAATGGTAGAGTCCGTTCTTAAAAACCTCAAAAATTCTTCTTAATTTTGTACTTCACCTGCAATCCTTACTGACTTTTTGTTTGTTTTGTTTTTTGGTTTTTTGGTTGTTGCTGTTGTTTATTTTTGTCTTTTTCAGACAAGGTCTTGCTGTGCAGTTCAGGCTGGCCTTGAACTCACTTTGTAGCCTAGGCTGGTCTTGAACTTGCAACAATCCTCCCGCCTCAACCTCCCAAGTGCTGTGATTACAGGAATGTGCCACCACACCCAGCGTCCTTACTGACTTGTTTTTAACTACTCAAACTGATCAATTTTAGCAAAAAAGTATTTTATGATATCATTTTCTTGTTAGTAAATGAGGTTAACAACATTTTATGTATCTCTAAAATAGCTTATCTATTTTTAAGCAACATAGGTTAAATTATTGCCACCTGCTTGTCCAAATTTCATGCATAAAAGCAGAAACACCTACAGCTTATCATGCAAGATAGTACCAAAATGTAGCTGCTTGAATTGCTAAGGAAAAAAACACAAAGAGAATAAAAATGAAGTTCTCAATGTTTTGGATTTATGTGAGTTTTGTTTGTTTGGCTGGTTTGGTTTTCTGCATCCACATAAATTAGGGACACTGGTAACCACCTGTGTTCACAGGAATTCTACAGTGAACCTCAAATTTCTGCCTCTGGGTTCACATCTTCGAATTCCCTTTCCCTCTATTGTGGGTAGAGCTTGTGGGACCCTAATGGCGAAATCACTCCTATATTTATATTACATAATATGAGATTTTATCTTAACAGACAGAACTCAGGAATCTCACACTGGTATTGAGCAAATAAGTCATCATGAGCCTACAACCACAGGAAATTGGATCTGTCAGTAACCTTAAAGAGTTTGGTAAAAGGTCCCCAGCTCCAGCTAAGAGCCCCGCCCAGCTGACACTATGAGCTCAGCTCTGTAGGCTCTGAGCAGAGGAGCTAGGACAAATCTGCTGCATGGCTGGTCACAGAAATTGTGGCCAACTAATGTTCTTTATGTCACTAAACTTGCAGGCATTCATTATGCTACAGTGGAAAACTAATATGAGACCTAGTATGTTTTATAGATGACAACTCACATAAAGTTGAATACACAGCAGACAAAAAAGAATAATGTGCACTGATCATCTAGCCAGTTTGTAAAGGACCTAGAGGCCTTGCTATACATATACTGCATGTAAAAGATACCGCTGAAATGGGATACTTAGATGTGGAGGTTTTACCTGATTGATCAATTTGGAAAACAAAAGTGAATATAACCATCCTTAGATTTTATTGCATTTTTTCTCTCCCTATCAATACTTTGTTTACAAATAATTAGGATAACAGTAAAAAAAATAGTACTTTAAAATAATATATTGTTATTTAGTAGTGTTTATTAGGGTTCCAGTTAAAATGCATACTATGACACCATTTAGTCAGAATTTTTCTGCAGTATGTAATATGGACCTTACTGGGTCAAGTCCATCTGATCCAAAGAATCAACTTTTAAAGAGAAAATGTATAAGGTAGACTTTATGATCTGCCTCAGTGAAAATGCTTGAAAAGAAAATTAGTATCATCTTATGTACAAACTTGGTACATCTTTGCAGTATCATATTAAATGTTTCATTTGGGGTTTCTGTGTGTCTTTTTGCTTACCAAAAAATGAAACAATATCATACGACAGTTATCTTAGCTTGATCTATAATTTTATATGACATATCCCATCACATTAAGATCATAGGCCATAAAATACAATACGCTTTAATGTCCAGATGTCC